ACGTCACTCACTCCATTCAGACAGACAAAAGACGTGACTAGCTAGTTCGGAAACTGAATTATGTCAGGTTATATCTCTATGCCGTAAAAGAATCATCTTAAGTAAGGGCAAACCTTATTTAGCAACTCGTGGAGCTATTGTATATCCTAGAAATGGAGAAACGATTAGTCAAGGAGATACACCCTTATGACTCTTTTCTCTCACTCACCCGCTCCCCCTGGTTTATGTTCATCCTTTGTGTCTTCAGGTGTTCTGCTGTTCTCATGTCCAAAACTGATTTTCAATTTTTCACCCCATTTGGAATTTAAGGTAATATCTCACTTCTTGGAACCGGGGGAATCCCGATCGTTCATTACTGGACTGGCTGTGCTTCGACTGTGCAGAATGGATACAGGTTCCGGATGGAGGACAGCGATGGAGTCGAGTTCATACAGAGCGGGAAAGATGGTCGCCGTTGGTAATCAGAGCGGGAGTTAGATGGACAGAGGATCCACCTCCAAGGTAAGATGCCTGCGCTACCGCCGTCCCCCGAACACAATGCACCCTCATTTGATGGTTGTACCTGACCGGAAAGATAGCTAGCATACATCTCATTTTCAGGGTGCGTTATGTTTGGGCCGGCAAACACAACATCGCACTCACGTTATGGTCTGTACCGGACCGGAAGGGTAGCTTGCATACATTCATTATAAGGGGGGTTTATGTTTGGGTGGGAGATGACGGTAGAGTAAGCGTGAGTCATCGTCAGCTTGTGCCGATTTCGCCCCTCTGCCCTTTGTACACTCTGCCCGTCGTTCCTACTGATTGAATGGCTGGGTGAAGTTTGTCTGGATTGCGGTGATCCCGTGGGTTGGGTTGGGTTGGCTTGGGTTGGCTTCTGAGAAATACAGGCAGACCTGAGTTCGGATCCAGATGGAAAGAGATGAATGAATTTATGAAATCAACTAATTCTGACTGAATTGAATTAGCTGGGGGCGGGTCAGGTCACCAATGATATCGCAAGCGCGTCGCGTGTCGCCCTTTCGCAACAAAAGAAATGTTCTTTGCTGAGTGCTGACTGAGTTTGAGATGAAACTAAATACAAAACCGCCACCACGACCAGTTCAGGCGAGTCTAGGTTGAGCTCTCACAGGCGAAGGTTTCCGACAACTACCGTCTTCCCCCGAACATAACGCACCCAGGAAAGGCAAGTATACAAGGTATGTTTCCGGCCAGATACAGTCAGAATGAGGGTGCGTTGTGTTCAGGGAAAGAAGGTAGTATAAACAACCGCAATTTTTTTCCAGATGAGATGAACAGTGCTGCTGGACTCAATGCCTGGCGACGCCTGGCGAAATGAACGGAAAGAAGAGTGACTCGCTAGCACGGGCTCCTTCCTTTCTTTCTCTGGCACGTAGGGGAGAAAGAAATGGATTGGGAAAAAGAAGGTTGGAGGTACTGGTGGTCTAAACCCTTTTAAACCCTGTTTATACTCCCCATCCCCCCACCGTGAGTGACCCATCATCAATCGAATCGAATTGGAAGGCGCGGCTGGATTCTGACTGCTGAGGTCGTCACACAAAATCCTGGCCTGAAAGCATTTTTTTTTTTTTTTTTTGGTTTTTTTTTTCCCCGGGCTGCCTCTGTCTGGCAGGTGGCCCGACTGAGCGAGCTCTGGTAAAGGTCCCGGTCAAGGTCCCAGACAGCCTACCACCCCACCCCACCCCCCTCTTACCCCCCTCTTACCCCCCACCGCACCCCACCCAAAAAAAAAAAAAACAAAAAAAAAAACAAATAAAGAATTGTGCAGAGTTGCAAATCAAACAATATCTGTGCAGAGAACGTGGTATTCGAGCGTTGTGCAGGAGAGAGAGTTGTTTCTCTTTTTTTTGTGTTGTTAGAGAGAGAAAGAGTCATCTTTTGTGCAGAGAACGTGGGATTTGGATGGATCGTGTTGATTTTAGTGGTTAGGTTTAAAGGTTAAAGTTTAAACCAAAGGAGCGGATGGGTTTTCTTTATCTCTCGTAGTTTTTTGGGGGGTGTCTCATGTTGTCCCTTGTGCCTATATTGCCTAGTTGAGAAGAGAGTGGGTGTGGCTTTGAGAGAGAGAGAGTGATCTTTGAACATAGATTCTCCTTTAGGAAAGTTGATGTCCATCGCTATATCTTTAACAGTTTAAACTCTATAAATCCCGAAAGACGTTGATATGTTCTCGCCAATATTTATGGAACAACAGGGAGTGGTTGCAAGCCAACAGGGTCCTCAGAAAATGGCTATTGAATAGCAAGCAAGTGGTGCATGACTCTTGTACTACTTCTGGTTGGTACTCTGGTGTCCCAATTGGTACTCTGCTGTCCCAAATTGGTACTCTGCTGTCCCAAATTGGTATTCTGCAGACCCAAGCCCATTGGGGCTCCAATAGGGTCCAGAAGTTAGAAAATGGTTATGGAATAGCGGGCAACTGGGGCATTACCTTGTCCTACTGTCTTCACCTGAATAGAACGCCGGGTCATCATGACTGTATCCAGACTGAAAGTTGCACCAAATACAGCTATAATGACAGGGCTTCCTATTCGGGTGAAGACGGTGGTTCTGATTGGCGTTGTGCAGAACCAAACCAATAATGTCTTTCGAGGAAAGGGAACCAGTAATGCCTTCTTTTTCTTTTTGTTTCTCCTTTTTTTTATTTTTATAATTATAAAGCTGTCTTCTCCTCATATTGGGGACAACTGTGTGTGTTCGCCAGACTATTCTCTTCTCTCAATCACCTTACACTAACTAATCATCCATCTCATAGGGCTTAGGAGCGAGCAGTACTTTCAGGGCTTAGGTTAGAGCACTACGTAGCCTAATTAATTTACTGACAACAGCCCTGTACCTCATTAATCTAGAGATGTCAAGTGAGCTACTCGAAGAGGGTTATGGGTTTTGCTCATCTACCTATGGGACACTTTCCTCCCCGATCTATCCGGGCCTACCTATGCCCTCAGGGTTGACCCTTGCCGATTGAGCCTGTCCCTTCAGGGTTGAATCTACCCCTATCGCCGATGGAAGGGGCACTCTCCAAGCTCCCTTACCAAGTCCTTCTACAGTAGGGGGGGCGAACCGTCTATCTCAGGTGGTGAGACCAAAGTGTGCAGCAGGGGCAGTGGGGAGCCTTTTATACATTTTTTAAAATGATTTTTGAAGCCTTTTTTTCACTTCTCAATTTCCAGGAATGTATGGCCCAGGGGCAGCTACCAGCATCACAGAGTAATGTGAATATCTTGTCACTGTGCAGCATTCGGGCCTTTTCCCAAAACAAAGGGGGCACTGTTGATCAGCTGCCCGGCTGCGAGCGTTATGATTCGTCATTTTGCTCGTTCGCATGTCCATTTGCTGCTGCGCTCTGCAGTTTGCTGCTACAGTAAGGGCATACTCACACTAGCGTTTTTTTTTGCTAAATCGCAAAATCTGCTATGCTGTTATAGTCACACTAGGGTTTTCCGACCACCAAAATTGTAAACGGGGTAGCATTTGTCAGCGGCCTGGGGGGCCGTGGGGATGGGCACTTTGCTACCACCTCGAGAGGTGGTGGCGAATTCTCTTTCGCCTTTTGGGAATTCGTAAAAGAAGATTTCTGCGCTTTGTGACCATGCGAGGCACCAATTTTGCAATTGCCAGAGAGTCCCGCCCGTGTCCTTTCTGATTTGCAACCCATGTGTGACCGGGCGGGGTATGATTTCAGCAAACATGGGAAAGAAAATTCAGCAGATTTTGCTAGACTGCCACCGCTGTGTGAGTATGCCCTAAGGTTTGTTCACTTTCACCACTTGCTATGACAAGGTGGAGACCACTGTGGCAGAGGGGCACTGAGACCTTAGAGAGTGTGACACACCGACGGTTGAAGACTTCTTCTTGAAGTTCTTCTTCTTTGTTTTTTTTCCTTTTTCGGGGGGGGGGGAGATAGATTCCTGTTCGGTTCAGGGATCCTTTTGCCGAACAGAAGGATGCGTGATGTATATGATGTATCTGAAATTTTGAATTTATTGATTTGCCAGCTGTGTTACTACCCGGCGGCCCGGGATGCCTCAGATTGTCCTGGGTGGCCCGACTGGGCCAGGTCCGGGCAAAGTCTCCTGGTCAATGTCCCGGGCAGTCCTGATGAAAAAAAATTATGTCATGCAGAATTGCAAACCGAATATCTTTTGCCTGAGGGTGACCACAAAATTCGCTATGGAATCCGGCAGTAAAAAAATAATAAAATACTAAATTATATCATACCCCTTTATGCCCCTTCGAGCTCTTTCGACCCCCCCTTATACCACATAGACACCCTTTTGTGAGATATCACCAAACTCAAAGATAAGGTCGGATTTTGGCACGTCTCAGTGGGCGCAAAATTACCTCACTGCCAAAGAAATCAAAAAGAAAAAAATTGAACCCCTTTTTGGTGTTGCCTGGGTACCCCTGGCGGATCACCCCCCATGCAAGTTTGCCTGGGTCGTTCAGCCGGACCGCCCGGGCCGGGCGACTCTGGTAACATAGCTTGCCGGGGGAATAGGAACCGGACTGACGCTCCCCAGAATGGATATGGAGCCAGGACCACGAGGCCCTGTCTCTATCTCTATCTCTATCTCTATCTCTATCTCTAATCTCTAATACCCTAAAGGAAAAGGCGGGTCTCGCGTGACGGGCCCACGTGAGACACCGCTCCTGGTGCCAAGGGAAACCGCAGGAGGGAGGGAACAGGGCAGCGGAACCGGCGTGGGGACGAGGCCGAGGCGGGGGCCAGAAGAGCCGGCGCAGGGGCGAACAGCGAAAGTGGACGCGAAACAGCGTGGGCCCGCGGTCAAAACCGGCAGCAGGGGGGGGGCGGGGTCGGATTGCGACGCGCGGGGCGAACCGGCGCGGGGACGAACGGGCAAAACCGCAAGCAAGGGGGGGGCGGGGTCGGACTGCCCGCAGCGAAAGTGGACGTCAAACGATGTGGGCTCTCGTGCAAAAGCGCTAGCAGGGGGGGGGCAGGGTCAGAGGGCGACGCGCGGGGCGGGTCTGAGGCCGACGTGCGCAGGCAAGGCAAAAGTGTGAGGAGGGGGGGAGCCGGTGGCCGGCTCGCGGGTTCCACCGGGGGCGGATGGGAGCTGGTGCGCACGGGTAGAGGCGGACGGGAGGCTTTGGGGGGAACTGGCCACGGAGGAGAGGCGGGCGACAACGGTGCGCACCGGCGAGACGTGACGAGTCTGTCGATGCACAGCCATGGCCGTGAAGCGATCGTGGTGTACAATATCTGCCCCTGCCCCTGCCCCTTTGGCTTCTGTCCAAGTTCCTTGGCCCTTTGGCTTGTGTCCTAGACTCCTTGGAGATCTAGTGAGTGGGGGACTCAAGCACTCTGTGTGTGTGTGTGTGTGTGTGTGTGTGTGTGTGTGTGTGTGTGTGTATGGGGAATTATGTTTTACGGAACTTTTACCCGTACCTTGTACAATATCTGCCCCTGCCCCTAGCGTCCAAGTTCCTCGGAGATCCAGTGAGTGGGGGCGTTA